AACATTCCACACCACTCCCCAACTTCCTCTGAATCTTACAGTCTTTCCACTTCTTATTCCGTTATTTACCCTGAGCCAGAGAGGAGATGGTATAGGTGTCCCATGTATAATTGAGCATTCAGATATCACTTATTCTCCTCACTTGACCAGTTATGAGCCTCTGCAGTTACCACTGCCAAGAGGAAAGAGAAGCCTCTCTGAGCAAGCTAATAATAACAGTAACCTATATGCCATAAATAGTGTTATTTACAAGGCAATGTGATGGACACATTGTGTCCATTTAGCAAAATAATAGCAATAGCTTTCCCACTGAGGACTATACTCAAACCAGTCTGGGGCATTTGAACATATTTATACTACATGAATTCTCTCCAGGGGACTGGGACTATATCTAGCCAGAAAATTGTTGGTTACCCCCATAACAGACTTGCCACAGTCTCAGCAATGGGCATACCTTACCTGGCCAGTTTGTAATGCTGCACACAGGGTCCACAGATGAATATGACTGTCAATGGCAGTTCTTCCCAGCCACTTACACAGCACCTTCTGATTCAATAATCAATCTGTTAATTTGTTTATTTTCTATTGTTTAGATTAAGGAGATTCTTCTCCCATCTGGGATATTGTCTCTTCACTCAGTGAACTGCTTTTTTTTTTTTAATTTCATGAGATCCCATTTAATGAAATTCTACTGTTTATAGGACAATAGATACAACTTTAACTAATCATACTAAGTGAACTAATCCAGTTTCAGAAAAACAAATACCATATCTTTTCACTTATTTGTGGTTCCTAGATTTTATACACATATATAGAGTCATTTATGTATATACGACATGAAAATATAAATAAAATTATCTAGAGAGATAAAGGGGACTAACAAAAAGGGTAGAGTTGAGAAAGAGATGGTAAGCTTCAACATACAATATACTTTTACAAAAAAATTAAATTAAATAAGTTATTTTTAAAAAAATATTGAGGCTGGAGAGAGGGTTCAGTGGTTAAGAATATAGTTTTGCACAAGACCAGAGCTCAGTTCCCAAGTGGCTCACAGTGGCCTACAACTTCAACCCCAGAGATTCCAGAGGTTTCTTCTGACCTCTGCTGGCATTTGCACACATGTGCACACATGCATAGATATTCACATAGACATATACATAAATCAAAATATTAATTAAAACTCTATATATACCACCCTGGCCCCCCAAAATTAAAACATATGCTACTAAGTTAATGCATATATGCATGTATTATCTACTATACATTTAATGTACATAGAGTGATCTAGATTGGGGTAATTATGATAAAAAACATAATATATGATGAAAATTTATATTACAAATCTAAGTGTAAAAAGATAGAATCCTTGGAAATGGGTTCTTGCCTGTTTTAGATGGCCATAAGAAACATATAAAATGCAATCCATTCCTCATGCCATATATATCATCTATCAGTGTACAACCAACGTGAAATTGCGATAACCAAAAAATGTCACAAGTCATCCTAAAGTAGAGATGTTCATATAAAATATGTCTGAACTATTTCTATTAAAGACTAATGTCATCTAAAGTAAATAGAAACTATAAGTACATGTGTTGGCAATGAGGTTAAAAGTATTGGATACCCATCTTGGAATTTGAAGAGAGGGCTGGAATTGGGGCAACAAAGAAGCCAATGACAAACTGTACATTTACGTTACCACCATTTTGTGTCATGATGAGTTAATGGGTTAAACTAGAGAGTTTTAATAAACATTAATATATTATTATTTTATACAATCATTATTATACATAACTATTACATAATAATGACATAATATAAATATGTATTTCTATTGGAACTTTAAAATTCACTTTCTGAACTACTCTTTTTTATATGAAAATAAGATTTATTAGATTGGCTTAGCCAATATAGTCTTGGTAACCCAACAGTGACTGTCTTCACATGGGATACTGAAACTGGTAGCTGTTCAGACTCCACACTGCTGGATGCTTCAGCAGTCCTAATCTGGTGTGGAAGGCCTGGAAGATTCTCAGAGGGTCATTGTCTTCAGTATTGTTGGAAGGTCAAAGAAGCTGAATTTTGATGCCAGCAAAGGATGATGGGGGCAGCAGCAGCAGCATAAACCGAAATAGGTAGATGAAATTGATGGCAATACATGAAGGCAAAAAGGCAGGGAGCAAAATATTTTCAGGTAGGCCTGCCATGTTTATGTGCACACAGATCATCACATAAATAAATACAGTGAATTTGTATTTTGAGGAACACAAATGAAATGAAAGAGTATAGAAGATTTATTATCTGAACTATTCTTGAAAATTAAAATAAGCAAAATCTGAAATGAGCGTCTAAATCTAAATCTAACCTACAGGAAAGGGCAAGAGTACAGTTTGACACACTAATACAAATTGTCCTCCAATGATTAGTAATGAAATATTTTTTACTAATTAGTATTTTTGTGGTTAAAGAAAAGGTAACAACATTTTTACTTTTTCCAAGGAATTAAGTTGATAAAGACATCACTCTTTATGATATAAAGCCACATCTGCCAAGCTGTTTCTGTACTTCATACTCTATAACACTAAATGAATCAAGTTTGCATCTCACCCCAATATAGTTCTCTATGAATGACTGTTGTTTTTAGATGCACAGGTATATGTATATCAAAGTATCATGTTATATATCTTAAATGTATACAGATGTCACTAGTATTAATAAGGTGGAAAATAAAATAAAAACTTTATCATATATGCTACCTCATTTTTACATACATGAATGGTTAGTTGCTTTATCAAAATGTATAACTTTTTTTCATTAAATTATACAATATGAATTTTAGCCATTAAATAATAATTACGTTATGTCTTTATTGTCTGATTATATACATTTTATTGTCAAATATTAGAGAAACAAAATTTGTGGAAAAAAATAATTAATATAACTCACTAACCAGAATTTCACATAAAACATATTAGTGTCCTATGATATCTTTATCAGAATTTTGAATAGATTGTTTAAAAAAAGGCTAACAAGTATAATAAATATGAATAGCGAAAAAGTTCATAGTAAGGATTAAATTATACTGTAAAATGACATTTTATTTCATTGTGTGCACAATGTATATGTTTTAATTGTTATTATTTAACACAGCATTATAACCTTTTATTGCATTATACCCTGACACCTAACAAAACTAAAAATAAGCCACTAAATATGTAGAAAATTTATATTTGAATGATATAATTAAATATCAACTGTTAAAGTGTTCCAGGCTTTCAACAAAGCACATTTCATAATTATTTTATTGCTCATGAATTATTAGATAAGAATAAAATGTGAAGTAATTGTAGTTAATGTAAGTAGGTATTTAGTAGATGAGAACATTGTGGGCTCTCTGGGATACAACGGTGAACACATTCTCAAGGGAGATCCATTTGTGAGCAGAGTTAGAAGTTAGTGAGATATTGAAGGATAGCTTCTAGAAATCCCCCATGGTCTACAGGAGAGCAGAGCTATGGCCTGGACTTTTAGTTCCCAAGGGCTCAAGTCTTTTAAAGTCAAAACAAATACACCTGGAGCATCTTTAGTATAAGTACAAGCTGTCAGAGGCAGGGTTCTATTTTAAGCATCTTGTAATCATAATAGCAGTGTTGCCACATCCTACTCTGTTCTCTGTAAATAGTACTTTTTGAACTGCTGCTTGAGATTATAGAGGCTGGAGAGTGTTTCTATATCTCTGAGGGTTTTTAATACTCTATTTTTGTTTCAAGTACTTCTATTCAGTCATCATAAAATAAAGAAAAATTAAATGAAGCCTGATGAATATGAGTGTTACAAGTGTCCAGCAGAGCAGCCATACCTTTACACTCTGTTCTTCAGAGAGGAAAAAAAATCTGCCTTCATGAAATACAGAGGCAACAATTTTTGAGATTTAACAGATAAAATCTAAAGAATATCATATCTTCTAGTATTGTGTTTAAATAGCTGAGAATTAACTAAATAGGTGAAGATGAATGGGAACAGTTCTCTATGTATCACTTTGTATCCTTGTGGATGAATAGACACATACAACAAGGGATTTTGTATAAATAAGATATCTATCCATAAAGCTTTGTAAATAAACAAAAGTATGATCAAGTGGAAGACATACTGTAGGGCAATTCAAGAGACAGAGCTGCTAAGACCTAAGGCAAGTAATGACTTTTGCAATTTGTATTCTAGAGAAAAATTAAGAGCAAATTGAGCATGTTTCTTTGATCTCAAAAGACAGTTTCCTTTGTACAATACTTATATTTCTAACTCTGTAGACAGAATCAAGTGTCGCTTGCACATGTTAATTGAAAGATAAATCAATACCTAAGTATATATTTCCTATTCATTAAATAATATAATTACAAATTCTATTTTAATCATACAACATATATATATAATGTTCTTTTGTTCTTAACAATTATTTCATAATATAGATATTAAAATAAATTTAATTACTTAAACATGAATAATAATATTCAAATATTTTATTTGCTAAGAAGAATCATTGGCTGATTTTTTATATATAAAAGAGTAAAGAGCTGTCATTATCTTTCAACAGCACTAGAATCATCCACTTTTGTTTTTAGGAGGACGTCCACTCTAATGTACACATTAATTAAAAAGGTAAATGTTTCATAATACTTACATAAATTTTAATAATATTTCACCTTAATTAGTCATGAAACAAAAATTATTGACTTTATTTTCCATTTTCTAATGATATGTCTTCAATACAAAAATTTCCTAAGATCTCCTATTATACTTAAGAGACTACTAAATAAGTTGCACTCATAAATATCTACTAAAACAATGCAAAGATGATAGTCCATATCTAATTGTCATGAACTATAGAAGATACTTTAGAACTGTATTAGTTAGAATACTATTAATCATGAGTTATATCTTTCTCCTTTAAATTTTTTTTCATCCTCTATATCTTTAGAAGAGGAAACAGGAGGAGAGAAGATATGAATCACACGGAGATTACAGAGTTCGTTCTCTTAGGCCTTTCTGATGATCCTGACCTCCAGATTGTGATTTTCCTCTTTTTATTAATCACGTATATATTAAGTGTCACTGGAAACCTGACTATCATCATTTTGACCTTTGTAGATTCCCATCTGCAAACACCAATGTATTTCTTCCTCCGGAATTTTGCTTTCTTGGAAGTCTCATTTACAAGTGTATGCATCCCTAGATTTCTGGGGTCTATTGTCACCCGGAACAAGACAATTTCCTATAACAACTGTGCTGCTCAACTCTTCTTCTTTATCTTCATGGGTGTGTGTGAATTTTACATTCTCACTGCCATGTCCTACGACCGCTATGTTGCCATCTGCAAGCCCCTTCACTACACGACCATCATGAGCAGGAGACTCTGCACCCTGTTTGTGCTGTGCGCCTGGCTGGGTGGGTTTCTTACTGTTTTCCCACCCCTTATGCTTTTGCTCCAGCAGGATTACTGTGCTTCCAATGTCATTGATCACTTTGCATGTGACTTTTTCCCCCTTTTACAACTGTCTTGCTCAGATACGTTGTTTTTAGAAGTGATTGGTTTCTATGTTGCTCTGGTCACTCTGCTGTTCACCTTGGCGTTGGTGATTTTATCTTACATGTACATTATCAGGACTATTTTAAGGATTCCATCTGCCAGCCAGAGGAAAAAAGCCTTCTCCACCTGTTCTTCTCACATGATTGTCATCTCCCTCTCTTATGGAAGCTGCATTTTCATGTACGCCAATCCCTCCGCAAAAGAAAAGGCATCACTGACCAAAGGAGTGGCAATTCTCAATACCTCTGTTGTCCCCATGCTAAACCCCTTCATTTATACCCTAAGGAACCAGCAAGTAAAACAAGCATTCAAAGGTGCAGTACACAAATTAGTGTTTTCTGTAAGCAAATGAAATCAAAAGTATGTTAAAAATAAAGAACTCTATTAAGATCTAATTAATTATATTCTCAAAATTATTAAATATCTGTATTAGGTATCCTTCTTCTCTTATAGTTTCTTTGTGTGCTATAACATAGTAAATTTTATAGTTTCACAGTCTATCTCTTTTATTATTATAGAAATTATAATCAAGTATATATAATACATTGGTTTTTGAAATCTTTAAGAAATGTTGACAGCATGAGAAAACCCAAGCCAGAACAAATCCCAGTACCAAGAGGAAAATCAGGCACAAAGTCCCAGCCCTAGCCAAGGAACTCTTGGTAATTCTTAATGCCAGTTTTTTTCTTTTTCTAAGAGTGTAGATCTGGATAAGTTGATCACACTCCAGTGGAAGGCCACACACATAAGAATACTTGGGAGGCACAAATTGGCCTTGATGGTCAAAAAAGGACAAGGACATAAAGCAGAGTAGGGAGGAGAGATCTGGGAAGAATTGTGCAAAGGAGGATGAATTTGATAAAAATATGTTGTACAAGATTCCCAAATAACTAATTAAAATAATAAAGTTTATTTCCCCTGTAGAATTTTCTGGAAACGTTACATTTTTTTAAGACATGCTCTATGGGAAGATATCATATAGCAGTTTTAATTTTGCTTATATGTCCATAAAGTTTATATATTCTGTCATCAAATACTTTAGGAATAAAGCTACATTATATTTCAATATAAATTGACATTTTGATATTATTTTAAGATTCTATATGTTCTCTATTTTCATTCCCTACAAGCATCTTAACTGCAAGATTATTCTATGTAAATTTTAAAATGTGCCACACTTGTTTTATCTGTAACTTAAATGAGTTACTCCTTTAAAACACAAAAGTTAATTTTGGAATGCACTCTTAATTATTTAAACCATATGGGCATCATTTCAATAACTCATCTTCTGCCTTGAGGTCTCTCTCTGTTGCTGTTATACTGTGAGAGAGTTTCATCTTCAAGTGTTCGGTTTTTTTCTTTCATGTTCTTCCAACTAATGCAAATTAGGAAATGTTATGTCTCATATACTTTATTTCTAAATATGTAGAGCACCATAACATACAAACTGAAATGTGGAAAATGAATAAAGTGTTGTATAACAATTTTAATATATTTGAAAGGAACGTCTTTGAATAATGAATAGTTGAAAAATATGTAAAAGACATTTGAAAACATGTAATTCAAAGGCACATTCCAATATTTGGAGTATCAAAATGACTCTGAAACAGGATATTTTGTTTCTGCACCAGAAAAAAAATTATTAACTCTCTTAGGTTCCATTCATTGTGTTTCGATCATATTGACCTTCTTCTTCAACTCCTCCCAGATTCACCCCCATCGCCCTACCCACCCAAGTTCATGTACTATTTTTCATTTTAAATCCAAATATGATCTTCAAATACTGGGTGAAAGGATATCTCCATGAATGTAGCCAACCTACCAAGGGTCATGACCTTAAAGAAAATTTACTCTTCCTCCTCCAGCAGCTCTAAATTTTCAATACCTTCCCAGCTAAGGGTGGGACACTGTGCCCATCTCTCTAATCCAAGCTAGAATTTTGTCTGGCTTGAACTTACACAGATCTTCTGCATGCTATCACTGTCACTGTGAGTTTATATGTGCAATTGCCCTGTTGTGTCTTGAAAACAATGTTTGTTGTAGCCATCCACCGTTCCTGGCTCTTATAATCTTTCTGTCCCTGATCCTTTGGAAAGCAGACTGTGGTATAGATATCCTATTTAGAGCTGAACACTCTGCTGGCTTCCAGTCTCTACAGGGTGACCAATTGTGAGTCTTCATGTTAACTTCCATCTACTACAAGAAGAAACTTCTCCGATGAAGGCTGAGAGGTACATAATTTGTGGGTTTAGAATTAAGTCATTAAAAATCACTTTAAATAGTATGTCCATTTATCAGAATGATAATGGTAGGTTCTCTGCTCGGTCTTATGACTTTTCTACGGCAGATTTTTAACCCCAGCAATGGTGCCATAAGTAGGTTCCATCTTGGGGTGCAGACCTTAAATCTTGTAAGATCCAGCAACTGATGGGAACAGAAACAGAGACCCACAGCCAAACACTAGGCAGAGCCAGGGGAACCTCACAGAAGACAGCAAGGAAGGATTGAAGGAGCCAGAGTGCTGGAGGACACCATGAGAACAGCACCCACAGAACCAACTAAGCAGAACTCCTAGGACCTCACAGAGACTGAAACAACAAACACGGACCCTGAATGGGTCTGAGGTAGGTCCTCTGAATATAAGTTACAGTTGTGTAGCTTGGTGTTCTTGTGGGACAATATTGGGGAGGGTTGTCTCTGACTCCTTTGCCTGTGTTTAGGAGCCTTTTCCTCCTACTGGGTTGCCTCATCCAGTCTTGGTATGAGGATGTGCCTAGACTTACTATAACTTGTTAGGCCATGTTCAGTGGATATCCCTGGGAGGTCTGCTCTTTTATTTGAAGGGAAATGGAGAAGGAGTGGATATGGGGGAGGGAAGCAGGACAAGGGACTGGGAAGAGAGGAGAGAGGGGAAACTACAGTTGGGATGTATTGTATAAGAGAAGAATAAAAGAAAAAAATAATTTAAAAGAAAACTTTTAAAGGAGATTTCATCTTACCCTGATCAGAGTGACTAAGATTTAAAAAATAATAAAATAAAAGCATTTTAAAAGACGGCAAATGCTTTCTTGGATGTAGGCAAAGGGAAACACTTACTCACCGCTTGTTGAATTTCACACTTGTACAGACACTATAGAAATCAGTATTGAGGTTTCTCAGGAAACTAGAAATAGATATCATATGATCCAACTGCATATACCATTCTTAGGTATAATCCCAAAGGATTCTACATCATGCTACTTGCTTATCCACGTCCATGATACTCTACTCACAGTCAGGAAATGGAAACAGCCTAGATGTCCATCAACTGTGATACATTTCCATTATAATACATTATTAAGCTGTTAAGAAAAGCCAATTCATGAAATTCACAGTTAAATGGATTGAAATGGAAGTAACCATTCTGAGTGAGGTAACCAGACACTGGAAGACAAATGTCATGTGTTTTCTCCCATATGTGGAAGATATGGCCATGGAGGGGGGTGGCTTTAAGGGAGGAGAGCTAGCAAGTGAGGATATAAAGGGAGGAAGGGTAGAGGAATGAAAATAAAATGCTTTGAATGTTTTTACAACAGAGAAATAATTTCTTAAGGAAATAAATAAGTTTGACCTGATTGAATATTACACATTTACCTCTATCAGACAGCATGATGTACTTCTTCATACGTGTGAGTTATATTTTATATGTCAGTTAATTGATTTAATTTTATAAATAAAATTTATGAAAAGCATTTTTGTCTCAAAACTAATCTCTATTTTGTTTCTGAAGGAAAGCTTTAAAGAATAAAATATTTTTGATGGTAAGGTGGCTTTTTTCTTCCTCATTTTGAATTTAAAATCCCATTCTTTCTAGTATGTAAGATTTCTAGTAAAATGTCTCCTGCTAGGAGCACTGGGACTCTTATGAATATTATTTCTTTCTTTTCTCTTGTTACTCTCAGAATCCTCTCTTTGTCTCCCATCACCTATAATGTTTCCTGTAATTTACTTAAATAAGATTTTTAGCCATTTGTCTTTCACTGCTCCATCTTGAATGTTAATGACTTATTTATTTCTTCTTTTCCTACTCATAAATATCTGTAAGCTATTTTCACTTTTTTCTTTTTTTATGAGTATTTCCAAATAACTTACCATCAGCTTCACAAATTCTTTCTTTGAATTATTCTGTTCTGATGATGTTGCTTTCTATTGTATTTTATTTTTTTATTATATTGATCTTTCTATTAAAGTTCTCTCAGAATTTTGGAACTTTTTATCTGTATTTTATTTTTTATAACTTCATACATGAACACTATATTCAAGTTTTCTGAACGTCTATTAAAACATCTATTTTGAATGTATTGTCAAGCAGTTCATACTCTCCCTTTTGAGCCAACATTATTTTTATTTACTCCGTAATATCATGGCTCCTTGGCTATTCTTGTTTCTTGTGATTAGGCATTAATATTTACTTTTTAAGAAGTTACATGTTCCTTTTTTAAATCCTGAAGCTGACTGGGAACATCTTGTAGCAGTAAGCCTTTCAAGAAAATCTGGTAAAACCCTCGACATGGTTCCCAAACTCATAAACACAGCAACTATCTGCAATACAAGGGGGCAACCTAAGCCAAGATTACCACAGCCAGAGCAGGATGGAATAGACTACTTGGCCTCCAAGGCTGGCTCAGGACCAGAATGAAATTCTACAACCACTAAAGCAAGTGTGATACTGAGAGAACTTGAAGATCAAAGTCTCTGTGGCCTTCCATCCAAGAGGTTTACCTAAACCAAGACCAGTGCAGTAGACTGATGGTGATGTAGACCACAACTTGAGTTTGTGAAGGAATTATGGATTCCCGTGTGCAGGAGTATTATTATTTGGATATAAAATAGCCCTATACTCTTGTGTGCTTGAACACTTGGCCCCAGCAGGTGCTGCTGTTTAGGAAAGCTACGAGAACTTTAGGAGATGGTTATTCCTGGAGGAAAAGGATCACTGGAGGCAGACCTACTACATTATGAATCAGCCTCAGTTCTGGTCCAAGTTATCTCTGATTCCTAACTGCTGATATAATATGTCTACACACCTCATACTCTTGTTACCCCAGGCCTGAGCTAATCCCCCACCAGTCCTTCTCTGTTGTGATGAACCCTACCCCCTTAAACCATGAGCCAAATAAAATCTCCCTACATTTCAGTTGTTTCTTTCAGGCATTCTGTCACAATTATGAAAAAGTATCAATAATTGTATCAAGAAGTAGGTCACTGCTATAATAAATATGAGAATGTGGCCCACAGGATTTTGGAACTTGTTTGTGAGGGAAATCTCAGAGTATAGAGCTATAGGCTAGAGGAGTCTTGGAACACTATACC